TTATGATCTTCATCCAATTTCAAGTGTGAAAATATGGCTCAGAATGATACTCACAACCAGCCTTTATGGATGTGAATTACTCTATGACATCAAGGGTCAACATGCCGCTCTGTTGGAAGGAACGCAAAGATATTTTGCACGCATTGTACAGGGTCTTGATAAAAGATCTCCCTCAGAATCTACTATTTCGAACCTTGGACTTTGGACAATTACTGCATATATTGATAAATGCAAACTTTTATTTCTTGGTCGTTTATGCAATCTGAACTGTAATAACTTTGCAAAAGATATTTTTTGCGCGTCCATTGCAAGCCCTGTCAATTCAAAGACAATCTGTGGAGATCTTAAATCAACACTTGATAAATACAATCTGAGTCCCTACCTTCGTGCATATACTCAGTACGGTACTTTCCCTCCAAAATTGAAATGGAGAAATCGTGTTAACGAAACTATATGCAAATACGAAGAACAATCATGGCTCACAAATGTATCAAATAACGCAAGCATGTCCCGTTATAAGAGAATTCATACGAAATTAACATACCATGTACTTTGGCAATTAGCTTTTCTGTACCCGGAATATCGACCTGCTTTACAACTCTGTGTGAAAGTCTCATCACGTAGTAAACTTTCGAAAGAGTGCATGCTCTGTAATAGGCATGCTTTTGACTATGACAGCCACGTTATTTTACATTGTGAAGCGCTGATATCAGAAAGAAATGCGTTTTTCTCTTCTCTCATTGACGTACTTGACGTTCAAAAATATGTTGATTTTGAAATGCAAGATGAAACAGATATGTTATCAGTCTTATTTGGGGCTGAAACAAAATTTACTCACAATCTGGATCAACACACCTGGGAAACTATTATACTTCAGTTCTCCTCGTATCTGTACAAACTAAGCATCTTCTGATATATATCTTCTAGTGAAAATCTGTCATCATTTAGGTATCTGAATTTGATAAACTGTGTGTAATTGTAAATATGTTGTGCCTTTTTTTATTGTGTTAACTGCGTGTAATTGAATATATATTCATTGTAATCTTCGGAATCGCATCTGGAGGAAATAAAGAATCTCTCTCTCTCTCTCTCTCTCATTGTACCTAAATACCAATTTTGGACGAAATCTCTGAATATCGATGAATCAGCTCTGCAGATGCCCTTTCCGTTTCCATGGAAGCAAGGTGGTAACGTAAATAAAGTCATATTGTATAGTGTCCCTAGATACACCTTTGTACCAAGATTTAGCAAAATCGTCAGTTATGACCGACAAAGAAAACCTGTAAATAACGACCAGGTTGTCGTTGTTGAGAGCTTGTTGGAATATGAAAGGTGCAGTGCACACTGGTTCCATAGCTCTACTTTTTGTTGTTCATGAGAAAACGCGCACAGTTGAAGGAAGATATATTCTATTACGAATAATTAGTCTTCACTTTATTTAGTACTTGTAGGTCACGGGACTTTTTGTAAAAACGAAATACAATTTAGGTGCAAACAGTATAAAAAACAACACACTCCTTTGTATTTTTTTTGAAAAAGCCGTTTTAAAATAATTGCATAAGTTTGAGTATTTGTGTTCTTACAGCATTGGCGTAAAACAAGTACTTTTTGCTGTATTCATATTGATAATAGGGTCTTGCGCTCACAGTAGTGTATTAAACTTAAGAATATTTGGAACGATGTAAAAACTTTGCCTTAGATGGCTATAATATAGAAAATTTAACGAAAAGTGATATTCATTTTCGTTATGGTTTAGGTTACAAACTTTACATTTTCACGAGGAATATTGAAATGTCGTCCACGATCAATTTCTAGATTGTGAGGACTGAGCCGAAAACGAGTCAATGTGGTCCTGAATTTATTTACAGTTATACCACTCAAATAGTTCTGACATGAAATGGATGTTTTAAACTGTGCATAATAAGCCATTTGGAGCTTTCGCATAGATCACAATGCCAAACCTGAAAAAAAGTTTTAACCGCTGATGTAACATATTTAAAAATGCGGGTTTTTTTACCACATGTTTGAAAGTACCAGACATCACCAAATCCTAATCTGAAAATAACAGTTTTAAGTTTCGTTACCCAATTTACCTGGCCTTGTTCATCGTACAACCGCAACATATTGTAACATCTTTTGGGGTAAACGGGATGCTTGCATATTATAAAGAGACAGCCAATATTTGACACATTTCAAAACAGCGAGCGACTGAATAAAACATCTGCCAGACTCGGTTCCATGTCACTGAACCCCCAAATTTCAGCCCCGTATAAAAGTATTGGTGTTATCTTTGTATCAATACATTTGAAGTAAAAGTGAGGCGAGTATGGTTTCAAGGAAAGTACACTAATAAACAGGACCATGAACACCTTTATTGCCTGAATTGCAATATTATTTAAGCATTCGACCTCAGTAATCTATCACTAAAATACAAGCCAAGATAACTGTATCCACTAACTAATTCATACGCATTTCCAACATAATACCATTTTTTCATAAGGTGATAAACCTCCCCTATTTTTGAAAAACAACTATTTTTGTTTTCGATAGATTGACTGGCATTTCCCATTTACAACAGTGATCATGCAAGATATTCAACATCATTTGTACGTTGTTGACAGTATTGCCACACACAATAAGGTCTTCCGCAAATAGAAGTAGAAAAATATCAATAAATTCCGTATGTAACTTAACACCAAAACGACAATTCGTTTATAAAAAAAACCTGAAACAAAAAGGGACAAAGCATACAACCTTGCCTCACACCCATGAAGCAACAAATATACCAGATTCTCTATTGTTTAAACAAACACTAGCCTGTACGTTACTGTACATGTATTGTAACATTTTACCCATTTTAGCACTCAAACCATGTTTGTACAATGGCGTCCATAGATATCGTCAATGCCATCCGATTTATCATGTTTCTTGACACTGATGCTTTCAAAAAGTTCGGATCTGGTGATTGGGGATTCTGATATGTCAATTGTCAATTCTTGCACATAACCTTGACATTTCACTATGTCCTCCACCTCACCAAGATTATCCCACATTAAGCTGACGCGCCGTGATACAACTGGAACATTGTTAAAAGCGGTGTTAAACCCAACTCACTCACTTAATGCCCAATAAATGTACAGTCACCGATTTAAAAGTCAGTTCCAAATCTTCCATTCACAATATGTATGTTCAGAATTGAACACATTTCCAAAAGAGTTTTTCCATAGTTATTTTGTAATTTATCACATGAATATTTTTCCATCTCAAATTGTGTAACAAATTACTAAGTAATTATTACTTTCAACATGGTGAATAACATCGTTCTCCTCATAGTCCCGCGTCACACCGGTTCTGCTGTTCATGTACAATTAGACCCGTGAAGATCCGGGGTAGAATAAGTATTCAGCAACCCATTCTTGCCATAAAAGGCGACTATGCTTTTAACATTTTACCAGTTATATCACGGCGTGTAAGCTTAATGTTGGAGGAAAGCCCGAAGTTGTGCAGGTCTAAGACGTTTACCACTTCGGTGAAACCCACGAGCACGGGAATGGTGCTGACAAACCTAGAAACATAATTGGGGCGAACCGGGATTCGAACCCACAACCATAGGTTTCTGGCGTGCCCAAGGGACGCAACTCTGCACAGCGAATCGTGGCGCCTTAGACGACTGGGCCACCCGTGCCCCCGCTTGTCGTAAGAGGCAACTAACGGGATCTGGTGGTCAGACTCGCTGACTTGGTTGATGCCTGTCATCATACCCCGATAATCATGATGTCGACCACTGGATTGTCTGGTCCAGACTCGATTATTTACAGACCGCCGTCATATAGCTGGAATATTGCTGAGTGCTGAGTGCGGCGTTAAACAACAAATAAACAAACAAACAAATCCAAGTACAATGATAAAAACAGCTGGATACTCTACCAGTGTACTCAATAAAAAATACAGCAAACTCTCTACCCCATTTTGTCTTTTTTTGTTATCATACCAGGTCGATCTCTCCTGGTGGATATATGTAAACACACATAATGGAGCTCTACTGAAACCAAACATACTTTTATCCAACAGAATAGTAATAGTATGTTCTCTGCATCGAACATCAATAACATTACATATCTTGCCAGTGAATATTTTATCAAAAGTATTCCTCCCGAATACCTCCCGAACTGGGACCTTTTTGTGGCTGGTAAACAAAAAAGTTTTTATTCTGGAAAAATGTCACTAAAGTTATTTTCTATTGACTATGTTTCATACAAAAGAAACAACACAAAAGAAACAAAGCCAATGTCGGACAGTTTGTTGGTTAAATCTTTTACATTCCTTGCAATGTAAGATATGCTTTTGCATAACCTTCGACCTTGTCGGCAGCACCCGCTCCTGATCCACAGCTGACGATGTTCCACTTGAGTCGCGATCTGCTACTGGAACCGACAACTGATGCTCATCACCTTCCAGAGTAGTAGCTGGCATGTCCTCCATAACGAGCCCGCCATTCTTATAATAGTCCCTCTTGTTCTCAGATCTGAGCAAAGTCAGTTTCTCACGCTGTCGCTTATTACGAATAATTGCAAGAAACCGAGCAAAAACAATAAAAAACTTGAAAATAGCAATAGCAATCCTATATTTCCAATCAAACTTTCTTTATAAGAATATTTTACATTAAGGGGCGATATGTACGATGTTGACTCTTAATGTAAAAAAAATAATGTTTACATTAAGTGTTGCGGGTTGTTACTCTTAATGTAATTTTTTTTTACATTAAGAGTTAACACGTAACCCTTAATGTAAAACATTTTGCATTAAGAGTAATTTTTACATTAAGGGTTGTAACATGGCTGACTTAAATGGGTGCATTTTGAGATATGACATCTTAAATACCTGTCAACTGCTATGTGAGGTTATTTCATCCGAGTTTGTATATATATTACAGAATAGAGGAATACTTATTAACGTATTTCTGACATAACAAACTAAATGTTAACACTTTTGCAATACAGCTGGATCCCCCTGTTCGACTTTTGCATACATCCCCTTCAGAACTGACACTCTGGACAAGTCTGGCAATGAACGAGATACAACGGCGATCGGTGTCGATATCTTATATCCTGGCAGGGAAGGGTATGCTTACTTTTCCCCTCCTTCGCGCATGGTCATCTGGTCAACCTCTAACATGGAATTTGGACTTTATATCAAAATCACCTTTAGTTTTCGACTTGATTCATCCAACGGGACTGAAGGTCATTTCACAGTAATAGGAAACTGTTTCCCTGGTGACTTGCGAGGACCAAGCATATATATCGGTACTCAGACAGGGTACAACCAATCCGTACTTGCCAGTTTGGATACGAGTGATGACGTCAACGTAAAGGATCTCTGGGTTAAGTATGACGTAAGCAAATGCTGTAATATTAGGATCAAGCTTACATGTAAGTAATAAATTCCATTGTGTCGGAAGATTGATTAACGTAATGACCACTTCAGAAGATGATTAAAAATCTCAAATATGTGTCTACATATAGACATAAAATATAATGACTTGTATTTATTTATCATATATAAGCACTACAGGTACGACCTTTTGCAGGGAGGATGGCAAAACGTGACGGTCATATATGATGGCAATACGCTCAGTCTCACTGTTGGTAACAGGACGAACAGCATTTCAAGGCATGGTTAGTTCTTCAAATAACGTACTATAGTTTCATACCAATTTGTGGGCGAGTTATTATTTCACGTCACATCGGCAGTACTGCAATGATAGAGTGACGAGTCGGTCTGTGTGGTAAAAATCAATTGTGAGAATGTGAATGAAGTTCGGCTTGGAGCAAAATTTCGAATTTAGAAGTAGAGCATAAGTATCTTATTTGATGTGTTAGTGTAGTATTCTTTATAACAATCTTTAATGAGGTTTTATCCTGCATGTTTGCATGTTTGACGTTTTAATAAATGTTTATCTTAGAGCCGTGATTATGAATGGGCAACTACTTTATAACATCCCCAAATCTGACTGCATTTAACAAGTGTCAATGTATCAAACCGGTTCCAGGAGTATCATTTCATCCGTACTTACATATGATGTTGTACATGATCTGAAATGAACAATTTGTATATATAATCTATATTCTTCACCACCCAAAAACAAAATACATTTTTCGTGTCAAAGAATATTACGGTTGGTTGGTTGGTTGGTTGGTTTGTTGTTTAACGCCGCACTCAGCAATATTCCAGCTATATGACGGCGGTCTGTAAATAATCGAGTCTGGACCAGGCAATCCAGTGATTAATATCATATCATGAGCATCGATCCACGCAATTGGGATCAAAGGCATGCATCAACCAAGTCAGCGAGCCTGACCACCCGGTCCCGTTAGTCGCCTTTTTACGACAAGCATAGTCACCTTTTACGGCAAGCATGGGTTGCTGAAGACCTATTCTACCCCGGAATCTTCACGGGTCAAGAATATTACGGTACATGGCTCAAGGGAAATATCATTGATATTGTTCATTGCGTTGATGTTATTACTTTTCAAACTTCTGGGGGTAATATTACTAATAAGAATCCTACATTTAGTTTTTCTGTATACAGCAAGGCCAGATGTTTCATTTTTCACAAAAAGTATCTTATGTACATGTACAACGATATTCCTGCAGATGGTTCCTTTGGACCGTTATCTCCTTGATTAGCTTACTAGTCTAGCAGTTTCTTTAATAAATGTTCACTCCACGGATGATATAGTTCTTCTTTTAACGTAATGCCAAATGAGAGTACCTTTTATTATATTTTCAGAAGATTATCTTGTTTTTTTTGGTTTATTTTACACAAGTAAACACTCATCTTTTATCGATTTATATAGACATTTTTTATTCTAATGTAGATTTTCTTCAGCTATGCATCCACATTAACGATTCCTCATTTTTAGGATACATAACGAGACGGCAGACTGCACTTACTATTGCTCGACCTTCACGACCACAGGATCGGTACTTGAAGGCATATCTAAAAGAGGTAACATAATCACAATTACAAGCTGTACTATTATGGATAATCAAACATCCGGTTACTATTCACGTTGCCGTACTTTACTGAGCGAATTTGTGTAAATTCTTTTGAGTAATCAGTGTGACCAACTTTATGAGATTAATGTTTGTTGAATTGGCCTAATCCAATTCACTGTTACATGTGAGAGAAATGTGTTATGCTATGTTATAGGGGCACTAACTGAGATTGGTTTCAATACGTTTAAGAAACTTAGTATATAACATTACTGAGCTTGTGAGTCGCGCATAGACAAAGTCCATTGTGCTGAAACTTAGATTTGGATAAAATAAGCTGTCCATCTAAAGAAGAATCATAACTATTAAATTTCGGGATCGACAGTCTGGCAATTTCATAGAAGATGTTTACAGTGCTAGGAAATGCACCTGTGAATATATATCGTACTTATATGTCGAGCCCCACTACAAACTTCACATATACTAAATATGACTACATTTTTAACAAACATGATCGACTTGGCAATGAATATGTTTTACAATAAGTCTGATGTGGCAGTCATATTGAAAATCCGTTCGAACCTCTTTAACAAATTCCAGTTTTATCATTTGCGGGAACAAACATATAACTCTGTGGGGACCTGAGGTAGAATGTATCCCCAGCACCCCCAGCACCCTAGTATTATTGTAAGAGGCGATTACGTTTTGAAACCTGCTTGTCGTGGTTTGCGCCTCCTTGTCAGTGGAGAAAGGGAGTCTGGTACAAGCTTGAGGGCACTGGGGTCAGGGACAAACTTGTCTTTCAGATGGACAGATAGGAAGAAACATGAAACCATAATCCAAAACCACAATACAATATTATCTTATATGTTCGGGGACAGAAATTAGTCCCTGTCAATCAAAATGTACTACACGTTTAACATATCCATGCAGTTTTTTCTTCTGTCTTCTGTTTCAACTTAAATGAAGCCCAGACAACTTTGGATGAAAGTAAGATGAAAAGATCATAAGATTGTCAACGTCCATCTCCCTCTCAAACCCGAGAAGGGGGGGGGGGGGGGGGGGGGGGGGGGGGGAGGCGCAGTTGACTGCCAGAAACCTATGATTGTTGGTTCGAATCACGGTTCGCCTCGATTATGTTTCTAGGTTTGTCAGCACCATACCCGTGCTCGTGAGTTTCACCGAAGTGGTAAACGTCCGAGACCTGCATCACTTCGGCCTTTCGAGATCAAGGAACCACCACAAGAGCCAACACAAGATCTTGAATCATCTCTAAAAATAGTCCAGGGTGTCTGAGACCTGCATCACTTCGTTCTTTCCTCCCACATAAAGCTTACTTTCCGCAATATAACTGGAATAATGTTAAAAGCGGCGTTGAACTCAACTCACTCACTCACTCAAACTAAGGAACCACCACAAGAGCCAACACAAGATCTTGAATCATCTCTAAAAATAGTCCAGGGTGTTGCACACTTCACACAGAAAGAAAAGAAACAGTTAGGGAGAAGGACCAGACCAATTTTGTGTTTGGATGTGACTTCTTTGGAAACTCGTGTTGCGGTTCAAAATCCGTCTCAACCACATGGAATGTCGGTCACTCCTTCACACATATGGGAGTGGCGCCACACGCTCACGATCCCCGGTTAACCACCATGAATATTTGATTTAATTCAATGTTAAGTTGAAACTGGGTATAACCAACATCCCTGTCCCTCCGAAATGCAGCCTTCAAGCTGTAACAGTCCACCGTACTTTACAGATAACCTTCACACTTTTTTGCATGTATATTTCCCCATCTTCCCCTCTTCAGCAGAATGAATGATCTTCAAGTTTGTTCGACCAGTTCCCAAGGACTACCTTCAATGGGAAAGTGACGATACTAGCGCTCAGGGGAGATACCTTGAAAACATTACATAAAATAATAATTTGTGCATATTAAATGTTGGCTTTTTCCACATTTTGTTCTTCTTGATACCGGAACATATTCTGCACTTGATCTGTCACTCATAGATCCAAATATCTACAACCATGACCTAGCCCGACTGTTGATCCACCTGCAAAAAGGTGGAGTTGAAAGAAGCAAACTGGCCATTATTTGAAACATTTTGCCTTTTTGTTATTAATATCCTTGACCCTATTCAATTGTTTTTGTTTCTAGAGCTGATGGAACTATTCCCCATTCCTCTTCAATCTCACAAATGCTTAAACCATGGTTTAATTGCAAGGGAGTGTGGGACGAGAGTAGAGAAATACCTTTGGCATTATTGGCATTATTTGGCATTATTTGACTAAATTATATATTTACAAATGTATTCAGAATGTATAAAATCCTGTCGTCAAAGGACAGTACAATAACTAGAATACCACAGATTTATCTAAAACCAGTTTGAGAGTATATAAAAATACTTCAACAACACTATATAAATGGGCTATTGATCGCTTAAGATAGATCATCATACTAGGGACCATGGGAACTTTTGTTACCCGCATGGATCCAAGCAGAACTTACATCATACCTTCAGGTGTTGGCGATTAGTGACAAATTTTGTCGAATTAAAAGAACACATAATCTGCAATTAAAAAGTAGGTAGTAGGAATAAATCTACTTGGAATAACGTGGTCTTACATACCCTCTTTAGAGGTAAGTTATGTTACAGCATGTCAACCCCCTTCGAGGGTACAGCCACTACCAATCTCAGTTATCACATTTATTCTGCCAATTATAACAAGGTACCTCATCTTATACACAACACAAAATATATGTAACAATTCAATTTCTTTAAAACAAAAGAGAATTAATTGGGAACATAGATTTTAAAAACTTGTTGGATGAAGCCTTGAAGCCTTGTCCCTTTTGATGGATAAATCAGCAGTCAAGCAGGACCTGTTTTGACCGAGAATCCATCACCACAAGGGACATAAAATGGGGGATCCTCACATTTCAACAAATATTCATGTGTATATCTACTATGGCCAATACGACATCGTCGTAAAATCACGACGTTAAATCTGAACTGACAACCAAGTATGCCTGTGCGATAGTTGGCTTGACTTATTTAGACCCATTTGGGTGTCCCACTTCTCTTGCATTATATCTCTGATGTAACATCTAATTCCAGATTTATGACCACTGTACTGGATTAGAAGTGGTGTCAAAGATTTGTTGAGTGCTGCATTTGCAGTAAAATCGGCCATGGCGTTGCCACTGATTCCGACATGGCTGGGTAACCAACAAAAGACGAAGTCATACTGGCCAGAAAAAAAATCATTATATATTTCCACAATTTTAAGAAAAAGAGGATGTTAACATGACAAATGTTTAGTAATAGCCTGAAAAAGAATATGAAAAGATTATGAACTAATAATGTTTAGATTTATTCCTATTCCAAGTGATGGATTAGATAGGCAATCAAAAGCTGTAATTTTTGTGCATGATGTACTGTTGCGATAATTTAAGGGAAAGCTTATCCGCCTCCACTTACAAACTCTGAATAGGGACAATTTGTCAATTATTGAAGACCGACTTGTAACTGCCTCTCTATTGTATGCATATCTGTACCACAGCAAGAAATATTTAAATCAATCTATCTACTGAATCATTAAAAACCTTTGAAGCTCATTTAAATACTAAATAAAGTGATAGACTAAATACTGCCTTGTGATCCTGATTATAATGGTCAGACAGGGTAACCCACTGGGACTTGAAGTTGCCTATCTGTTAAGAACTATATAAATATAAATGAGGTAAACGGCCTCTAAAATACAAATCATGAGATTTTTTTAAATGCCAGGTAGTATGGTAAGCGTTCTCAAGATCAAAGAAAATTAATACTATGTGTTGTTTATTTACTATAGCATTTCTAACAAAGGATTCTAATCGTACTTAATTATCAACAGTATGTTTTTACAGAAACCACATTGAATATTTGTAAATCGATTATTGGTTTCCAAATACCAAACTAGTCTTTTATTTACCATTCATTCTATGGTTTTTCAAACGCAACTGACAAAAGATATAGGGCGGTAATTTGAGGAATCTATACTCACACGCAAAAGAAACGCAAGTGGTTTAAGCAAATAGGAAACAAACACGGAACCATAAATTGATACGACTTTTAGCATGTAGTGAAGCCTGCTTTTGGAAGCCCCGAGTAAAAACGCAACAGAAAAAACGAATGGCCAAAACGCACCATTTCAATGAATATGTGGGTATCATGCACCCATTTCTCGCGAAATCGAAAATGCACGAACTGTCATGAACTGTAGTGGGTATAGAACTGTGGCCGATTCTAGGACCTACCTCTCCTTGGTCAACAATGCCATGCCTCATTCAAATTCAGAGAAACCAGGCTATCGGACGTTTGTAAGCTGGAGAGTCTGTCCAAGATGTTGCCCGTCATTTCAACGTTAACATAACCACAATTTACCGTCTCTTGCATCGATACAATGCTACACAGTGCACAGATGACCTTCCTCGGAGCGGCCGTCCTAGGGTCACCACACCTCGACAAGATCGGCAGATTACCCGTCAACACCATCGACATCCGTTCCTAACTGCAAGTGAAAGTGCTCGACAGACCATAGGAACACATGATCGGCACATTAGCCGGGACACTGTGATCCGACGTCTCCGTTTAAACAACCTCAGATGTCGCCGACCAGCACGTCGTCCTGTTCTCCAACCATGGCATCGACAAGCTCGACTTCAGTGGGCACAGGGTCATCACAATTGGCGTCATCGTGATTGGAAGCGTGTCATCTTCTCTGATGAAAGTCGTTTTTGTGTCTCCCATGCAGACAGAAGAGTCAGAATTTGGCGGCGTCGAGGTGATGATCGTTTCGCTGACAGAAACGTTGTGGAAAGGGATCCATTGGGTGGACCTAGCGTCATGATATGGGCAGGGATTGGACTTAATGCGAGACTTGGACCCATGCGCTTTCTGAATGTTGGTCAAGGTCGGGGACACGGCGTCACTGCTCAGCGGTATATCGACAAAGTGATCAGACCCCACG